TTTATTGTTTCCATACCGATGGTCTTTACTACAGGGATCAAATGGAGCTGTCTAGATAGTGTTATATACCTAAAGGAACACACAACAGGGGTCTGCTAATATGTGAATATAACTATGTTTAACAACAAATTAGTTGAGACAATTTTGTCACGTTTAAATCGAATTAATATTTTTAATGAATTAATGCGATTTTACGTTGTTATTATTCAATCTAATTTTAAGTAGCATTTGATAATGATAATGAATTCATAAACAAATCAACGTTAGGAAATAATGGTTATGAACCAATTGAATTTAATTGAATTTCAAGAAATAGATTTTCGAGCACTTTAAAAGGAGTACAATGGGTAGTTGAATTACTGATGACGTAAAAATACTAAAATCCATACATTAATAATAAGTACATAAAATATATTACCAAAGGCGTGATCAATGGCGGCAACCCAGTTAAATGATCACTTCTATCTTAATGAATCGATATTTATTCAAAGTTAGAAGTTATGCGAATAGTTTAAAAAAAAATCCGAATTTTTTTTTGTGTTCTTTATTTGATTTAAAAAATGTATACAAATTTTGTATAATAGGCTTAAGTGATAACAAAATTAAGGTTACAGCCAGAAAACATGAAGGAGAAGCCGTCCACTGGCGACACACCAGAAATCCGAATTTAAAAGCATAATGCTTCACATATTTCGTTAGTATTTAGTGTACAGTGCATTATACCGTACACACGCCAATGTGTATTAAATATCACCTGATAAAAATATAAATAAACGTTTATAAAGAAAATATATCAATGAATCAAAACAACGGACGAATAAACTGCAGTGAACATTTGCGATAATGATTTTCTATTAACTGTACGTTTGGTACATTCGCCCTCGCCATAATCGATTGTGTATAGCGTATGCAACGGTCGGACGCAGTGTTGTTCAAACTTAAGACTTACAAATAACTGCAGGTGATGATAAGTATGTAATATGTATACTCGGCACGCTACATGTGTATTTTTTAAGAGAAATATACGAATTAGTAAGTAGTCGTTTATTGTATCATTATCGTAGGACGACGATTTGACGTCGGCGTTTATCACTACGCCGCCAAAATATTGGGCAAAAATATAGTGGGAGGTGGGGACGAAACACGTGCAAGGTCGAATTATATTGTAATAATAATTGTGAATAATGTGCGTAATTGTCTGAATATTAACATTTCACTTTCGCGTTTTTTTCCATTATGACTCACGGCCGGTTTACGTCGTGGGCGGGTTATATCACTAACCAACGGAGAGAAAAGACGACAGATTGAGATTAAAAAAAAATCCAGCAAATAGCTGTATTTCATATACGTCTAAAGACTAGATATAAAAAATATTCATTTAAATAAAATATAAAAAAAAAAATGTATTTGCTGCACTGTTAGTGACATGTATTTCAAATACAATTTTCGTTTTTAATCCAAAACCTTTCATAAATTCAAAAGTTCATAATAAAAAATTATATTACCCTATCAATACTTTATTCTCATTGGAAAATAATGATCCGTTAACTCATCAATTTTTTAAGTTATTTTTTCCACGTTCTCCATTAGTATGACTCATCATGATAGCTTACTTTGTATACATTTTGCAGTTATAAAAATGCAATATATTCATAAAAAATTAAAAAAATTATAATTATTGAATTTGATAAAAAAAATAAACCTTTAAGAATAGTATAAAAACAATGACCAAAGAAGCTATGATCACATCGCACTTTCGGAGCGCGCGTCGATGATTAGGGATTTTCAATATAAACTGTACGACATATTTCAATATACATTTTACATCATTAGGTACATGGAAATTAGAAATTTACAATATTCAAATTGGTAGAGGCTTCAGTATAATAATAGTGGAGTAGAATTATGAATTTAATGTGTAGATATAACTCGTGCTCCATAAATCATAGCCACGATAATAGTCGAATTCAATAATATGTTATATTGTTCTATATATACATATTTACGTCGAAGCACGTCGAACGAAAAAATAATCTAAAAATATTCAAATAACCATTTTGGAAATTTGTGTAAGATATGAATAAGGATTTAACGTTTTAATTATATTTTATATTTATTATAACAAAAAAAAGTTAGATTAGGCCCTATGAGGAATTGCCCCCTTCGCATCTCTCCCAATGCCCTATTCCTAATTTACGTGAAGGTACGTATATACATAGGGACCACGCTCAGTATTATGTACTTACGTACTTGGAAAGTCGTATAACGTCTTACACACGCGTAAGTAATATACGACGTATACATGATGTGCGTATGATCGTGATTAAGAGTGTTGTGTTTTCGTTTTTCGGTAATTGATGTGCGAACAATCCCATAACAATTCACAATAATAATTAGCAATCACATAACAATTTAATTCATACTTTGCTTTTTTTATGAAATACGAAAACAATAAAACCATATTAAGTTAGTTTTTCTGAAAATGATAACGATTCGATTGTAGAAAAAAATTAACACTTTGAAGTGGCTATTTAGTACTTTCAAATTAAACAAAAGTATTTTCTTCTTTTTTTTTTCATAACCTTCCTATACTCAAAACCCTTTCTAATATCCTGGATGAATATCACCTGAAAATCAACGCCAAAAAAATGAACACAATGACAGTTAGACGAGAACAACACATAGTGAAACCTACAATCAAACTGAGGGATGCGGTCATTGAAGATGTAGAAGACTTCTATTACCTAGGAAGCTCCATTACTTACGACAACAAATCTACCAACGATGTTAAGAGAAGAATAGCAATGGGCAAAAAAACATTCAACAGCAAATACAACCTCCTAACTAACAAACACTTGGATTTAAATACAAGGAAGAAATTCATCAAGTCATACATTTGGAGTGTGTTATTTTATGGCTGTAAAATTTGGACCATAGGTCAGTATGAAAAAAAAACGGCTAGAAGCTACCGAAATGTGGATTTGGAGGAAGATGAACAAAATATCTTGGGTTGAAAGAAAGACCAATGAAATAGTGTTGCAAGAAGTAAGAGAGAAAAGGAACATCATGTCTCACATTTTGAAGAGGAAAACGAAACTCATTGGACACCTCATAAGACACAATACCTTCATCAACAACATTTTCGAAGGAAAGATCATGGGGAGAAAAGAAGAGGACGCCCTAGAACTTCCTACTTCAAAGATCTGATGCTGCTGATGAACACAAGCTCATACTCACAGCTGAAGAACCTAGCAACTAACAGGGAGACATGGCTATCACAAGGCACTGCCTTTAGATAAAAAAAAAAACCTTACTATTTATATTTAAATATGAAAACTACAGAATATATATGTTTACTAAATTCGCATAGTACAGAGCATATGTACATGGCAAACGATTTTTAATAATATATTTTCAGTTAATTACTAAAGTTAAACAAGATATTGGAGTATTCCTATAGGAGTAGTTTTGTCGAAATTATTGAATTCTATTTCTAAAACATATTTTAAACATACGTTTTAATGTAATTTATACTAAACTATGGCGATGGAAATCTATGTAATAAAACTGTGTGCTGTAACGTATTTATGGCCTTAATATTATATTGAATATATATCACCCAATCACAAAACGATACAAAGGTTTAATCGCAGGATAAATAGCAGGTTGATGTACAGATGATGATATATTTTATGAACACGTATACGCACAGGTTCCGTATGTATATATAGTACGTGTGGAGGTTGGCGTACGACAGAAACGGCGACGTCACCGTGAACCCGATTGACATTCCGTTCCCCGCGCGTTAATGTCTTTAAGATGATATAAAAAAAATGAAAAATAGTAGATTTCGATTGACAGAAACGAGTAACACGATTACATCGGCGCGGTGCTCCGACCTCGGGTCTATAAACTGTAATCAAATGTCTATTATGTTATTATGTTATAATATATGGTGCTGTCGTCGCCAAAAGCAGCAACATTATATGGATGCAGCCTTCGATGCTATTGCAAGAAACCCCAAACAATAAACTCGATATGATATTAGTGCGAATATATAGTATTGTACACGTGTATGTAGTCACTACCACAATGTTATAACAATTTTATCGTCCAAACACATCTGTTTTGTTTAGCATACATTATTGTTATAAGATAAAAACGAAGTATAATGCGTTTATAAGATATCATCGTAGTGTTTCATAATTTTAATTATTTGACTAGTGATAATACTGATAATAATAATAATAATAATAATAATAATAATAATAATAATAATAAT